ACTGTGCCTACTGGCCGTCGGCAATGCCAGATGTATTCGCATCCCCCAGACCCCAACCAGACTCCCCCACTCAGTTGGAAAAACTTGCATCTTTTCCTCCAACTAGAAATGTTGGTCCATTCTCTCAGTTTGCCCAGAATTCCCTGAGCCTACAGCTCACACCAATTACTGCTACAAACAAAAATATCTCAGGGCTTAGAAAGCCTCAGGCTGGACCTCCAGTTCAGGCCTTAGGGTCTCCCTTGTCTGTAATCTAGGTCCTTCTTGGTCCCTGGGCCCTGGCTTGCTGAGCAGGTAGACCCTCCCCACCCTGGCAGGGTCGCCGCACTCACCCACGGGGCTGGGGCAGGCTCCATTCGCACTGTTGAGGTCTCCCCCCAGCATGGCCCCTGGAAGACAAGCAGAATCATGAGCCGACAGGACACCCCTCCGAGCGGGTCTTGGGGGCTGACCAGGGGAGCCACATGGCCAGGAGATGCCATGCAGGTGCCGGAGCACCCTCGGCTGAAAGCGGGAGCCCAGGTCCGCATCACCCTCCCGTCCACCTCAGCTGCCCGCCTACGGCCCACTCACCTGCACTGGCCGGCCGCTGGGGCAGGCCGGGGGACACACTGTTCCTCTGTAGTGCTGGCTGCTGCGGGGACAGCAGCCGTGGGTCCGTGAGGGACGACGTCACCAGGGAAGGGGTGACCAGGGAGCCGCCAGGGTTGCTGAACTGCAGTGAGCTCTGATTGGACACGGGCACTGTCACGGGCATGGCAAAGTTGGGGGCCGGGACAGCTGACTAGACAGAAAATGGAGAGGCAAGGTCAGGGCCAGGGTGACCCCTACCTGGGACCTGCTTCGCCTGGGAAGGCAGGCGACAGTTCTTCCGGTGCTGGGCGGTGCGTCCCAGGCCCAGCGGCTCCGTCCCTGCCCGGCCCTCTGGAGTCCTGCCTGCCACTCCCACCAAGGAAGCACACTGCTAGGGGCGCTACGGGGTCCAGCTCTGGCCCCGACAGTGAGGACGAGGCTCTGTTCACTGCAGACAAGACCAGGGACCCCTGGGAGCCCCTAGTGGAGGCGGGTTAGTCCTCAGCCAGGCAGGACACACAGGGAGCAGGTTAGAGGCCCCGAGTACAGACCAAAACTCACATGCAGCTGCTGGAGGCTTGCGCCTCCTTCACTCGCAGCCGCTTGTCCATCCGGCCTCCCGCACGGGGCTTCACCCCACCTCGCTGCCTCCCCTAAACAATGCTCCTGAGTGTCTGAGCCTGGGGGTCTGAGCAGGCCTGGGGGCCTTGCCCCAAAAAAGCCCCGACAAAAAGCACATTCTGTCCGTCCCTGTCATGTAGGGCTGTCACGTCATCTCCACATCTTGCTGGGGAGGGGGACACTGCAGGCCTCTCCCGCCTTATGCTCCATCCAAGTGAGTCTCAGCAAGGGTCACAGGCTGATCACGGCCAAGGTCAGAGGTTCCTCCGAATCACCAGCAGCCCCAGCACGGCTCAGAGCACACCCCAGTCAGGTCCGAGGCAGCCGAGGGCGCAAAGCCACACCATGCACCACAGGGGGCGTCCTCCATGCCACTACTCACGGCCAGTCTATAACTCTGCATCATTTTATCAAACTCCTCGTCTATCTTTTTATATTTCTCCTCCGTCTGGGGGGTCAGGGCAAACACCTCGTCCACCTCGGGGCTCTCACACTCCCTGTGTTTCTTGTGCAGCGCCTGGGGGGGGCGGGAGGGGCGTCAGTGGGGCTCACCCCGTAGCGCCGGAAGAGCCCGTCCAGCTCCTCGCTGGCACGCCGGTACTTGTCCTCCAGCAGGGGGCTCTGCTCCAGCGAGTCCTCCCCGTCGGGCTCCGGGCTGTCGCAGCCGTTGAAGCCCTTCTTCCTCAGCGTCTAGAACCGCACTGCGTCAGCGGGGTGAGGGTCCTCCCCGCCCGCCTCTCCGGAGCTCTGTCATGCCTTCCCGAAGACCCCCTGCTTTTCCCCAATCTCCTTCCCCAGGGGTCCCGGCATCTCCCCAGCCCTCTCCCTCGGTGCCACCCCCCTCCCGGGGCACTGTGTGAAGATTCAGGGGTGAAAGGTGGGCAAACCCCAGGGAATAGAACGGAACGCACTGGGCGTAGATTTGGGGAGGGCTCTGGGGGACGGGTTGAGGTGATGGTGGCCTGGGCGTCCCCCAGGAGAAGGGAGTCAGGGCTGGCTGTGCCCAATTCAATCCCTGGGCTCTGCTCAGAAGACGGGGAGGAGGGAGAGAACCAGACACGACACAAGAGGGAGAGGGACAAAGCACACAGTGGACTAGCACTTATGGAGTTCCTGCCATGTACCACCCCCTATGCTGTCCTAGCCGAAGGCCAGAGCTTCTCACATGTGGACACACAAAGCTGCCCTCTCCAAGTTCAAAACGTATTCAGACACTGGAGCTGTCGTTAAAATGAATGCAAATTTTACACGGCAGTCCAGGAGCACATCTGATTTCTCTAATATAAAAAGAAGGGAATTTCCTTCAAATCTCTGAGTTAGTCTCGTTCCAGGAAGGCTCCCAGGACCCGCTCCACCAGCACAACCTCCCAGCCCGGGGCACGCATGCCTCACGTGAGGAGCGAGAATGGGGCCATCTTGTTCAATCCCAGAGCACCCTTCAAAGCAGGTGCTAGCCCCATCCCGTGGAGATAGGTGGGCGCCCCGGCTCGGGGACGCTAACCCACGTGCCCAGGCCACGTGGCCAGTAAAGGCCAGAGCTGGGTCCCAAAGCCCGCATCCCTCAGCAGTTCACAATGGCAGCTCTCTCTGAAACATAGAACCCTAGGGACCCAGAAAGGGACAGGGACAGCCGGAGAGATGCAAACAAAGAGAGAGACAAAGGAAAAAAAGAGATTGATGCAGGAGCAGACCAAAAGATGGAGGGAAGGGGGAGACGGACAGAGAGCTGTCACGTCACGCCGGACAGGTGTGGAGAGACTCTGAGGGGGCTCACTGCCCCTTCCTCCACGCCGGGGTCTGTGTGAGAGGGCACGGGGCTGTGTGCACAGGGGAGGGGGCGCGGGCAGGGCAGGGCGCGTGCGCACGGCCCACCTCGATGATGTCGGCGTTGGTGCGGCTCTCGTGGGGCTCGTTGTACTCCGTGTACTTGAGCAGCACCTTGTCCATGTCGGTGCTGGCGTACTGGAACAGCTTGTTGGAGTGATTGAAGATGATGAGCGCGATCTCGCAGTCGCACAGCACGCTCAGCTCGTACGCCTTCTTCATCAGCCCGAACTTCCGCTTGGTGAACGTCACCTGCGGGCGGGCGGGGGGCAGCCAGGTCTGGCTCAGTCAAGGTCCGCCCAGGAGTCCCCACCCACAGGCAGCTGGACACAGCCCCTGCCTCGGGGAGCCCCCATGTCAGGGTGACCCAGCTCTGTTCCCAGGAGCCCCTGGTCTGGGGAAGAAACAGGCCAGCACCCCGTGGCCAGGACACAGCCCACAGCCCACTCCATGAAGGCAGAGGACTCAGATTCAGGTGGACGCACCTCCACGCCCCTGTGATGGCGACTACGACGAGGTCAGGGAAGGGGGACAGAAGGGCTTTCTGCTCTTCCCCTGGGGTAGGAAGATGGAATGGTTCAGCTTGGGGAAGGGGAGTGCGCGAGGTGGCCGGAGGCGGCTTGCCCTTGGCTTGTGGGCAGGGGCACAGGGCTGCCCAGTTGCAGCAGGGTTCTAAGCGCTGCAGGGAGGTAGGGATTCCCCTTCCATGACAGCTCCAGAGCCCCCTTCCTCCAGGAAGCCCTCTCGGAGTGGTTGTAAGGAACGCAGGCGGAGGTCGGCGCCCTGCCTCACCCACGGCGGGCACCAGGACCTCCTCACCTGTCGGTTCCGCTCATCGGTGATCCGCTGGATCTGAATTTTTTTCCTCCCCATCTTCTCCGGGGATCCTCAGTGCCAGGGAGGGGAGGGGATCGCTGGGTGGCGGGTGGCGGCACGCCTCACACTGTGCTCATGAACGGTCTGGGACCAGCGCTCAGTTCATGGTCTGCAGGACACCTTCTGCACAGCCACCTGGGGGGCAGGGTCATGAGAGGACTGTCAGCTGTGGCAGCCCTCAACCCTGCTCCTTGGGTACACGGGCCAGGCCCACAGCACCCCCTGGGACAGGCAGGCAGCATCTGAGCCCCAGCCTCAAAATGAGGACACATGGTGGCAACCCAAGGCGGGGGGGGGGCATGCGACAGCCAGGCACAATCTGGACCTCACACTCAGAGCTCAGGACTCTGGTCAGGCCCTTTCCACACTGTCACTGCTGCCCTCAGGTTCCAGGTCAGAGGGGGGCCGTGGCACTGTCTGGCTTCTGAGGGTCTGGGTCTTAGAACACCCCACCCCTTTCTTCTCCCCAGAGCCCACCCAGAGTAGAGACACCTGGGCTCGCCAGCTGCCCTCTGGCCTAGAACGGTGGTTCTTGCTCAGGAGGCTGGTGCCATGATGGGGTGTCTGCGCCCCTGCTCTAGACCCTCAGAGCAGGTCTACAGCAGGGTTGTCACACCAGCTTACGGAGCCCAGGAGCCTGGCGTCCCAGAGCGGATCTGGGGCTGCAGAACCCCTAGCTCTCCAACCAGTCCATTGGCCTCAGCCTACAAGTTGGTTTGAAAAAAGGGTTCTGCTGCCATAAACAAACACACAAACCACCCTTCTAGACCAGAGCTTGGCCACTGTTTTCTGTAAAGGGCCAAATGACAAATACTTAAGGTATTGCAGGCCATACGGGCTCTGTTGTGACTACTTAACTCTGCCTTGTGGCATAAAAGCAGCTATAGACGCACACACACACGCACATGTGCACATGGGCATGGCAGTGCCCTAACAGAACTAGATTTATAAGAACAGGCATGGGTTGCAGCTCGCCAACCCCTGCTCTAGAGGAATGGGCCAAGTCTAGAACCCAAACTCAGTCTGACGGTGCTTCCCAGCCTCGGTCGCCTTGTAGCACCAAGAGAACACACAGAGCTGCTGCATGATGTACGCGAAGGAGCCCAACGGCAGACGGGCACGCGGGCACCAGGCAGGGGTCCCTGTCTCAGTCTGCCTATAAACCAGGCATGGCCCACCATCTCCCATCACAGCCAGGATGGCAAACACATCCCCTGCACTGTGCAACTCAGGGACACGCTGGGATGGGAGGGACGCATGGACGAGAGCCCAGCCTGAGCCAGGAAAGGTGCATGCTCCCAGGTGCGGGCAGCGCCCAAACAGGCTGGGTGAGTCCTCGGGGGCTGGTGAGGCCCAGGGCGGGATGGACGTCCAAGGTGACCCCAGGGTTCCTCCAGCCCTTCGATTCCTGGAGCCTGTGCCTCAGAGGTGGAGCCTTCTGGGAGGTTGGTGGAGGGACAGGGAGCATGTGTGGCTGGGTCCTGGGAGGAGCCCGACCTCGGAAGTCCAGTGCTCCCTCCAGAGACCCCACCGCAGAGTCCTCCCCGCTCCCCCAACCTGGGCAGACGTGTCACTGGGCTGTTCGATGACAGAGACACCATAGTTGGGATCCCCCTCCCCAGCCCCCATTCCCAATGGCTGAGCCTTCTCAGCTCCACTCAAACGTGACCCCCAAGGACCCACTAAGTAGGTCCCAAGGTTCAGCCTCAGCGTCTTGGCCATGGTGGGAGGGAAGGCAGGGCGTCTGTGACTTGGGAGGCAGCAGGAATGCCCCTCCCACCTTCCCCATCACCAGGACCATCCCTCGGGCCTTCCCGAGCCCAGATGGAGAGAGCACCTACTCTGTCCAGATGTCTCCAGAAGGCACTGGAGCCCCCTGCCCACCCTTAGAAGGACCCTCCACCCACTCTGTGCCCAGGGACGGATCTTCCCGGGCTCCATGCGCCTCCTACCGTGCCGCCTCACAAGGGCCCTAGGACAACGCCAACACAAGCCCAGCCAGCCCTGAGTGGCCCAGCAGACACCTGGGCCCAGAACCAGCTGCAGCCCCTCCATTCCTTGCCTGTGACCCGAGTCTCTGCCAAACCCCTATGTAAAGGCTGTAGCCCAAGGCTTTCAGTTCCCCTGACTCCCAGTGCAACCCAAAGGCTGTATTTTCTAGAGCTGTAACGGGCTGGGGGTGGGGGGGTGGGAGGACACAGCGGGTGGGGGACAGGGGCAGGGGCCTGAGGATTTGGAATCCCCAATCCAGACTATTAAATGTGGTCCCTTACAGCATCTCCTGCCCTCCCTCTGCCGGTTCACTGTCTCCTTCTCACCACCTTTTGTTCAGAAACAGATTCTTGCTACAATGTAACCCCTGTCATTCACGGCCAATGCCAGCCACCAATACCACGACTTCCTCCAGGTCCTGAGAGAACGCTCTCTTCGCTGGCGCTCATGACCCTCGGGGAGCCATTCCTGCAAGCCAACCTCACTCCTTCGGCTCCCCCAATGATTTGCTCTCGGGGTATCATGTTCTTTTCTTTCCAGCACTTATCACAATTTTAAGTTATTACGGCTCTCTGCTATCACAATTTTAAATTATTACGGTTATTAATGCCTGGCCCCCTGTGAAACTGAAGCTCTGTGAGGGCAGGAAGCACACCTGTCCGCTCCGCCGCTCCAGCCCTGCCCTGCGAGGAGGAGCTCAGGCAATGTCTGCTGAAGGGAAGGACTTTCATCTGTGTGACCCCCGGAAAAGCCCTCTTGTGGTCTGACTTCCACCACTCCTGCGGCAGGACGGGCTCCCTCTGTCCTCTGTGGAGACAGAGCCCTTCCTCTCCCAGCTGCGCCGGAACCTCGTCCATTTGGACACCATCTACCCTCCAACCACCTCTGCCACTCTAGTCCTCAACCCTCCCACTCTCGGGTGGGCTGGTACAGAGGGGGAGACTCTAAAGTCTTCTAAGGAGCAGCCCTGAGCACATGGAGATGGAGAGGATGGGGTTGCTTAGGCAACTGTCGCCTGGCAACCAGCTCCCTGGCTGATCTCCTCCACCGCCCCCCACCCCCGCCTCATGCTGGGGGAGCTGAGATGCGAGAGGGATCAGGGCTGAGAACACAGGGAAGCCACAGGGGCCCACGGAGCACCCTGACAGGGGCTCAAGGCACCATGCTTCCCCAGTCCCCGCCAAGGCGGCCCAAAGCCCTTGTTATAATTCCATGTTGCCAGGCCCATTCTCCACTGCCCCCATCTCTGTGCCAGCACTGCCAGACAAGGAGGTGGCCCTGCCGTGGCAGTGCTCCCTCCTCTCTAGGCAGGAGCCCCCCACAAAGCGGGCTCGGTCTGCACTAGTCTGCGCCCCTCTGCTCCCCAGTCCACACTGTTGCAGTCCCAGAAAGCCCTGGGGCGAGAACATGAACCCAGCCCTGGCTGGAAGAAGGGGTGCTGGGGTCTGGGTGGGTATGGAGTACCCGAAACTAGCCTGTCCAAGGTGTGGAGGCCTGTGGTGTCCAAGCTTCCCTCCTACCCAGTTAGGGAGACTTGAATGGACACATCGACCTCCCTCATTAGCCCTCTGCCTGATCACCTAACCAGCTGCCAGGAGCCAGAGGCCCTGACATCTGTTCTCCAGATGTGAGCCTTTTCCCCCGCGCCTGCCCTGGCCCCACTGCTCTTCTCCTTCCCTTCTCATCCGCTCCTCCTCTAGGAAGCCCTCCCAGATGACCTGGCTTTAGGCTACTTGGGGCTCCTTAGGGCTGCCATGGAGACAGGGTGTGGCCAAGATGGTCTTCATGCTCGGATAGCCACAGAGCCTGCCCAGTCCTGACCTCAGGCCACACCTGTAACTCTTTGGGCTGGCAGCATCTATGTCACCGAAAGTACCCCCTCCGAGTCTCCAGCTGCTTCTGGTTCTGATTCACCCACTGGGGCTGTGCTCTCTGGGCAGGACGAGGCAGGGCGGACCTCCTGGGGTGGGGCGTGGGGGCAGGCAGACGTAGGGCCTGCCCCGTGGATGCCAAAGGAGCAAAGGGCGGGAGAGAGCAGCCGGGTGAGCCCCAGGGAGTAGAGGTGGTCGTCGCACAGCAGCCTTTGCACATGGAGAGTAGAGGACGCAGGGCAGCAGGCTCATGTGACAACACCCTGGACAAGGAGGAGGGGCTGAGGGGACTGGAGACTGGGGAGACCCAGAGGGACCCCATGGACAGCCATTTCTCCAAGCCACTCTCCAGACCAATAGGAACACGCAGGTTATATTAACATGCAAATGAAGTGCAAACAGTATGCAAATGTACCCCAAGGGGGGGGTCTCGGTTTGGGGGGACAGGGGACAAGCAGCAGGCCTCTGCCTCCCCCAATGTAACACCTCCGGGTACCTGAGCAATATTCAAACCATTCTCGGGTTTCAGAATGATGCTATCTCAGTTCCTGTGTGAGGGTGGCCTGGGGCCAGTAGGGGCGGGGGCAGCGGCCGGGCTGTCTCCCCAAGCGAGCAGCAGTTGTGACAGGGCTGCCCTTCCTGGGAGCAGCAGAGAAGTGCCTCTCCCAGTGGCAAGTGCCAAGGGAGTACCTGTGTCCCGTCCTCCGTCCCACAAGCTTGGAAGACCCCGCTTTGGGAGCTGCCCCACCAGCGCTGGTCAAAATGGGGCAGATGCCCAGAGAGGCTGAGCGGGCAGCCACTGTCACAGAGTACTGGCTTTAGCCCCGCTCTTCCGCGTGGCGAGCAGCTCTCTCATTAAGCGGGCCCTTCATCCCTCCCTGCCAGGCTGCTCCGGGCGCAGGCTGTGGACTGGAGGGGAAGGCAGGAGGCGCTGCAGACAGCTGTCATCCCTTCTCCCGCGCCATCCCTGTGGCTGGGCTGCAGGGCATGAAATAAGCAGCAGGCGCAGGGGGAGGGGGTGACAATCCAATCCACCTGTCACCCCCACAGTCAGGCGGCCTCAAGCAGCCTGCTCACTAATGAGGGAGGAGGCGTGGGCGAGGCAGATGCAGAGGGGGTGGTGGAGGAGGACAGACACACAGACGCAGGAAAGGAGACAGGGACGGTAGCGCGGCCAAAAGCAAGGCCGAGAGCGGTGAACCGGCAGACAGGAGAGGGCAGGAGGAGACAGCGAGGCTCAGGGGGAAGCGAAAGAGAACAAGAGGCGGCCCTGACGCCAGGGCGCGTGGCATAACGCCCCAGGATGCCACCCCCACCCTGAAAACTTGCAGTCCAGCCAGGGGACAGACGAGGGAAGGGCAGGTCCCCCTTGGGCAAGGGCAGAGAGAGGCCAGGGCCCGGCCCCGCCCCCCAACGTGGAGCACTTCAGCCCTGGAGGCTCTGCCCAGCCTTAAGGGCAGGCAGGTCCTGAGAGCGGGCAGAGGCGAGCACAGGCCCCAGGCCCCTCTCACTCGCTGGGTACCATGTCCATGCCCAGCCCAGCCCAAGGCTCCCAGCCTTCCAGTCACTCACTGAACCGCAGCCCTGGACCGGTTCCCTTTAAGCAGACACATGTGAAGAGGTCTGCAGCCGGGTAGGAAGGTGAGCCCAGTGACCGCCCCCCAACATCAAGAGATGGGGCTCAGGCAAGAGGGTCCAGGGTTCACAGTCTCTGGGGCAGACAGAGAGCCCTTCCTTCACAAACACCTTGCTGGTCCCCAAGTGGGGCACATCCCCCCCCCAGTTCTGAGCAAAGGCAGTGCCGGGGTCCCACGCTGCCCCTGCCTAGCTGGCTCCCCACCCAGTGCTCCCTCCCAGCTCCGTGCGCTCTGTCCCGTCATCCCCACAGCAGAGTTTTCCTAGGTCAGCTCTGAAAGGCACAGGCTAGGCCCCCATGCTGTCCTCCTCCCAGTTTGGCAGGCTCACTACCCAAACCCCTGTTCCCACCATCTTCCCCTCCCTGGGGACTCCCCTCCCCCAGCCCGGCAGCCTCAGGGTTGGGCAGGGGCTATTTTTAGCCTGGGCACTGGGCTAATTTTAACTCACCCACAAGGGACCTGGGGGCGGGCTGGCGGGCTGGGGGAGGGGGAGGACCAGCCCCAGGAAAGCTGGACCTGACACAGGGGTGGTCTCAGGTCCCAGGCGCCCTCGGAATGCAAGTGCGGGCGGCTCTGCGGCCTCAACTTCAGGGGCAGGAATGGACTTGCCAAGAGGAGCGCCCGGTATGGGAGCAGGGCTGGGAGCCCTCCCCTGGCTCCCGCTTCCGCTGGACAACTCTCCCTCTGCCGCACCCCACCCTCTCCTCCTTGGCACACCTCCTGGGATGGGGGTCACCCTGTTCTCTGCCCAGGAGATGCCTCTCCAGTGAGGGTCTGTCTCCTGAGCCTCCTCTGCTGCTTCCCACCCCAGCTTGCCCTTCCTGTCGTCTAGCGTTCATCCTTCCAGTAGCAGCTGTGAGGTGTATGTCTCCTGACAGAGGCGGCGGCCAGCCCCCACCCCAGCTCTGGCCTTCCCCTGGTGGCCTTTGGGCTAGCTAGCTCCTAGGAACCTCTCCGCAAACCCCTGCAAGTTCCTGGAGCCACCCAGCCCTATCTCAGGAAGAATTTGGGGCAACCGGAGATTGATTCCTAGTAGAAAAGGGGTGGGTGAGGTCCCAGGGAAATATGGGGGTCTGGGCAGGGACTCTGGGTACCTGGATTCTAGTCCCTGCTTTGGTCCTAAGTCACCGTGTGCCCCTGGCTAAGTCACTGCCCCCTCCAGGCCTTACCCACTGGCCAGTACAACGGGTCTGTGGCGTGCACGAGGCACAGAAGGGCCCTTCCAGCCGGGACACTTGGTTCCCGTGCTCTTCAGAGGCCCAGATGGAAGGTCAGACTGTGATTCTGTGGAGAGGTAGCAGCAGACATGTCCTCCCGCGTAAGCGGGGAGGGCAGCATGGAGGCCAGAAGACAGCCCCCAGGAGGGGGCTGAAGGGGAAGTGTTTTCTGAACCACCACAACAGATGGGGCTCATGGGAGCCAGGGCCGGCGCCAGGTGGGGCCCACAGGCCCTGGGCAGATTCAGCCATCCCAGTCCCCTCACGCCCCTGGAATGCCTATCAGCCTCACGGCTTGGATCCTGCTTCTGGTTGCTAAGCAGTGACTGGCCCAAGGTCACTGTCATGGTCCTCAGTGGGGCCTGGGCCCTGTTGCACGCTCCACCCAGCAGGCCCATCAGTCATGACTCACTACAGCTCATTTGCATGGGGATTTGCATAGTGTCTCTGGCCTTATTCCATCAGGGCTCAACTTCCCATTCCAGAACCTGGGCCACTCAGCAAACTGAGGCACTCAGGGACCCCACGTGGACGTCTTGGGAATCCAGGCCTCCAGTCCCATCCTTCTCCAGAAAGCATTCCCGAATTGCCTCCCCCCACCCCCAGGGTACCGTCCAGAGCGCTCATCCCATGGGGTCCTCCACTCATGTCCAGGCAGGATGGGGGCGGGGAGGTCCACTTGTGAGAAGTTACTAAGCAGTGTGGCCTGAGCAACTGGATGGGATTCACAGGGCGAGGTGTGCTGGCTCCACACGGCCTTGGGGCTCCCCCCACCCAGGAGAAAAGCCCCACTGTCCTCCTTGGTGCAGAGGCTGGGCGGCAGAATGGGGCCGGTGGTCCTTCTATTTCCAAAGACCACTCCCAAGAGCGCCAAACGGGAGGAAGTGGCCCAGTGCGGCAGGCAAGCGAGATGCCAGGCTGCAGAGAGGGCTTCCCAGGATGGAGTTCTGGGCCTCCAAGGAGTCTTGGGGCTCCAGTGGCTTTGTCAGAAGACACCTAACCAAGCACGCGCAGCTGGGGACACCTGGAGGACACACAGGCCCCAGCATTACGCTCCAACCAACAGGAGCTGGAAGACCACCAGTCAGCCCCCTGCCCACCCTGGAGAGGTCAGCCGGTGACCTCTGTCAGTTACAGCATGGCACTCTCAGCCATGCCCTCCAAGCCAGTGAAGCCCAGCAGTGCCCTCCGCTCCTGGGAAGTCCTCCCTGCAATGGAACCCCCGTCCCTCCCTGTAGCCGAGCCTGGCACTGCCTTCCAGTCACCTAGATGAGTGAGAGGGGTGGGCAGGGGCCCCGGGCGCGCGAAGCCCTGAGGAGAGGCGGGGGCAGTTGGGACGGTTACTGTGTCACCTTCCATCTCCCCACCCAACTTCCCTCTGGGGTCTCAGGAGACAGAAGTGAAAGTGGCAGCTGGGGCCTTGGGGGCGGGTCAACCTGAGAGCCGTTGGGGTGAGCATAGTGACACCAGTGTTGGGTCTGGGCTGCCTCCCACTGCAGCCTGGGGGGAGGGGGTACTGATGGTTAGATCAGGGGAGGGGCTTCCCGTGGAAATGAGGGCAGAGGTAACTATCGAGTGTGGGTCCCTGGCCACAGGAGGAGCAGGCTGAAGAAAATGGGGGGGAAAGCAGGCACTCTCTCCCAGGGCAGTGGTCTGTCCCCTCGTTTAAAGCAGCAAGGCCCTTTCTTCGCACTCACAGAGCCTGGGCAGGGCTGCTCTAGCCGAAGCAGAGGACGCAAGTCAGGCCCTGCCGCTTGCTGGGACAGTGAGGACAAGGGGGGCGGGGAGGGGCCTGAGGCCTGGGCCCTCAGACTCCACAGCAAAGGGAAGGTGGAGGGTCCGAGTGTGATGTGTCCCCCCAGGTACAGACAGGGGCCCGAACGAGGCCAATCCAATCAGGGAAAGCAAATCCTCCTAGAGACATCGTGACCCCGGGAAGCCACTGAGGATTTAAAGGGGCCGCCCAGGGCAGGGCGGTGGCCGGGTCTCCTTCTGACTGGAAGGACTGTCCTCTAAGCCCCTGGCAGGGGCGGGCGGGCAGCGCAGCTGCGTGGGCCTGCGAGGCGGCCAGCCAGGCAGCTCTTACAGGATTAGCTTGCTGCTTTCAGGAAAGGTGCCAGGTGAGGCTAAGATGCCCAGCCAGATGGAGGGGGGCCAGGCGGGCAGTGGGGGCAGTACCTGCACACGGCTATGCAAACACTTGCCCCAGATCCGACTCCCGGCCCTCGCCGAGACCCAGCGTCTCACCCTCTCCTGAAGATGCTGTGCAGACCCCTCTGATTTCTGCCAGCTAGGACCCCTGCCTACCGAGCTTTCTCGGCCATCTCGGCCATCGCTGCGGCCTGGAGCTGTCCTCCCTCTGAGCGCGAAGTCCCGCCTGGGGCGTGCTCAGTCCTCCGGCTGCTCCATAACCAGGGCCGCACCCCAGGGAGCAGGTGAGGGGGCCAAGAGGTTCCTCCTCTCCTCTCCCGGTCGGCTCCCCACCCCCAGGCTGACAGGTGGACAAGACAAGAGGGAGCAGCTGGTCCCGGACACCTGTCCCCACCCAGTCAGCTGGGGCCCCACGGGCCAGCCACGGGTGTGCACAGGGGAGTCAGCAGGACGGCAGGCAGCTGTGGGGGCTGGAGGATGGGGGGCCGGAGGTCAAGAGGGAAGTGTCCGCGAGGGCCTGAAGCACTCTGTCAAGACCAGCCCTTCCTCGGTCAAGCCCCCCAGCCATCATCCCTCAGCAAACACGGCACCCGTGCCTCCCAGGGAAGAGCTCCAGGCTCTAGGTCATCCGCTCTGTCCCCTGGCCTCCACGTTACCCCACCCACCTGGAGTGGAAGGACCCAGAAAAGAGACGAACCCCTCCTCCCCCCACGCCCGCTCCCTTGAGGTTTGGGGATGAGCTCTCTCTTATTTCTGGTTCCCCCACCCCTCAACCCCAAGTATGTGCTGGCGGGCTGGGGGTGGGAGCGGGGAAGCCATGAGCAGCCACAGGGATTGGTGTGGGGGGCTCTGAGACCAGGAGACAGCTGGCTGGGGAGGGCAGGGCTGCACACAGCCTCCCAAGCCCACCCCGGGGTCAGGCTGAGCCCTAGGCCTGGAGGTCCCCTCCCCACAACACTGACGCCGCGCAGCAAGTCCCTGCCCAGGACACTGCCTGCCCCAGCCCACCTTCTGGCTGGGGAGCTGCCTCAGCAGGCAAGTCCTGCCTGAGAAATGATGCCCCCGCTTTCCAGCACCCACTCTGCCGAGCGCCACACACTTCCCTGCAGCACTGCCTCCTGTCCCAGGTGGGGCATCTCTTTCCTAGAAATGAAAACTCAGAGCTGGGCAGGGACTTGCCCAAGGTCACCAGGCAGGAATAAGGAGCAGAGGTGGGCTGACCGCTGAGCACAGTGCGTCCGCTCAACCTGGACGACAGCAGGCAGGTCTCCCCCGGGCGCCGGGCAATTCCCGACCTGGGCCTGGGAGGCTCATGTCGCCAGCCCCAGGCTCCTGCCTCAGACAAGCCAGGACTGCAGTCTCTCGCCTCATCCGTTGATGTGGCCATTCGAGGGGTTACTAATGGGTTCCCAGGAGGGGTCTGCTGAGTGTCATTCATTCCTGCCTTCATCCAGGGACTCTGTCCCACGGCACTCGATCAGAAGACTACACCTTCTCAGGGAAAACAAGCACCTCCCCTCCACCTGCCACCAAACTGTAACCCTCGGCCTGTGCCAAGGAACCCTAGTGCCCGCGCTTCCCTCACCCAGGGTCTCCCAGGGCCTCCTCCCACTGACCCCCGCGGGGCAGGACCCTTCACACCTCCTCACTGAGAAAGCTTAAGCAAGTCTCCCCAGCCATCCCAACAGTGTGGACAGAAATACACGAGTCTTCGTATGTTTCCATACCCAGCACAGAGCTTGGCACACAGGGACACACACACGGAAGCCTCCTTCCTCCTGTTTGCAAGG